AGAGTTTCAGAACTTTGGAATTCCAGAATTCGCAATCTGAGAATTCCGTAACTTCAGAATCTGAGAATCTGAGAATTTCGGGTCTTCAGAATCTGAGAATGCTAAAACTTCAAAATCTCAGAACATCGGAACTTCAAAACTTCAGGACTTCAGAATCTCAATATTTCAAGAAAGACAATGGAGAACTGTAAAATGATTTTAACAAATTTTACAATCGGATTTTAATGTCAGTCGATACTTTCCTCACTTCCAATTTTGCCCAATTTTATTTCTTAATTCTTTTTCATTTCCTTTTGTTTCTCAATATTCCTTCGTTTTTTTCCGAATTTCCGTTTTTCCCAATTTTTCTTAATTTTCCTCAATTTTCGCGATAATTTAAATTTTTCTCATTTTTAATGATTTTCTAGATTATTGATTGAAGGAAACAATCACAATTTAGATATTTCCCACAAACAACGAAAATCCCAAAAATTGGCCCTAAATGAGCTATTTTCTTTCGAAAATCGTTCGAACAGGCTATAAAACATTACTAAAACTATAAAATTGATTTTTTTTTCGATAAATTACCACAAAAATTAGAGCAAAAATGATGAAAAACGAAGGAAAACGGAGAAAAATGAGAATTGCGAAAAGATCTCAATTTCGCGAAATTTTCCCATGAAAGAGAAAACCCCGCTCGGTCACGGCCATGATGACGTCATCGCTCGCAAACTTTATTTTTAGGATTTTCTCCGTTTTCCTTCGTTTTTCATCATTTTTGCTCGAATTTTCGTGGTAACTGGTCGAAAAAAATTAATTTTATAATTTTTGCAATGTTTTATTGCCTGTTCGAACAATTTTCGAGAGAAAATAGCTCATTTTGGGCTAATTTTTGGGATTTTCGAATTTCGTTGGTAAATTGCTAATTTGTGATTGTTTCCTTTAATCAATGATATAGAAAATTGTTTAAAAAGGAGAAAAATTTAAATTACCGCGAAAATTGAGGAAAATTGAGAAAAATTGAGAAAAAGACGAAGGAATATTGAGAAACGAAGGGAATTGAAATAGAATTGAAAAAAACAAGGAATTGAGAAAATTTGGCATCGAGGAAAGTATCGGCTGGGTTTTGAACTTAAATTAAGCATTAAAAAACTGAGTTTGTAAAATTTGTCAAGTTTAGCTTATTGTCAAAAAGAACAATGTGACAATGAGAAGTGATTTCTGTCGTTCGAAATTCTCAGATACCGAAATACTGAAGTTCCAAAGTTCTGAAATTCTGAGATTCTGAAGTTCTGAAATTCTTTGATTTCAAAGTTCTGAAATTCTGAGATTCTGAAGTTCTGAAATTCTGAGATTCTTAAATTTGGAAATTCTCAGATTCTGAAGTTCCAAAATCCTCAGATTCCGAATTCTAAGAATTCTGAAGACAATGAAGAAAATTTCTGCCGTAATTATTGAAAGTTCAGAAATATTGAGATTCTGAAGTTCTGAAATTTTGAAGTTCCGAAGTTCTGAGATTCTGAGATTTTGAAGTTCTGAAATTCTGAGATTCTGAGATTCTCAGATTCTGAAGTTCCGAAATTTTCAAATTCCTAAATACTGAAATTCCAAAGTTCTGAAATTCTGAAAATTCAGAGATTTTTAAGCTCTGAAATTCAGGAATTCAGAAACTTCGTCAAAAAAATTGTACCCCCGAATCACAAACGTTGTACCCCTAAATGAAATAAGCCCCAGAATCATTGGTAGATTGTACCCTCGAATCGTTGTACCCCCGAATTTTTGTACCCACGAATTTTGTACCCCCGAATCACCAATTTCGTACCCCTAAATCAGTTGTACCTCCTTGTACCCCCGAATCATTGTACCCCCCCCCCCCCCGAATTTTTGGCCGTAAAATGTGGTCAAATAAAATAGTCTTTATGACATCCTTGGATTTAACATTGAAGAGAAAAAACAATCGATTTTACATTGAAAAAGAAATCTGTGGAAAGGAAAAAAAATGACCGGACATCCAGAATGGTCTGGTCGGCTAATTTATAGACATATGTCAAATGAAGATAACGATCCTCTGCATATCAGTATGGATAAAAAACGGTTCAAATTTTCTCAAATGACGTCCTATCTCTATTTGAGATTTGGCAGTGTTCGACTATTTTTCCCTAAAGAAATTTTTCCCTATATTTGGATTCTTGCAAAAATAATTTTGCAAAAGGTGAAACTACACATGCTATTGCAAAATTTTGCCTTCATCAATCTCGGAACTTGGCTGCCTTGGTTACCCGAAAACATCTATTTCTATTCTTTCCCTTTCATTTTCATTTCATATTCATTTGAATATTAAATATGCTCACCTTCAAATCGCTTGTCCTTCTTCTAGTTCTCTTCTCAACTGCCATTTCTGCAAAGAAGGTAAATGTTCAAAAAAATCAGGTGAGTAATCGGAACGTTTCTTTTCAGAGAGCCATCAAGACAGAAATTCAAAAAACGACAATAGATAGCGTCAAAATCTATGTGGTGGGTTTTTTTAAATTCTGGCTACATATTACGATAAAAATTGTTCAGGAGGACCATGCTTCTCGACTCCAGATGAAAATAAACAAGCGCGATGCACCTGCAAAAAATTCAGGAAAGATAGTGAGCGCAAAACCAAATAATCTCATAATTTTTTGACTCAATTTCAGGATTGCGATATCACTTACCAGACAATTACATTGAAATAACATGATGTTTGTTGAAAAAAAAACCAGGAAATAATAAACCATTTGTATTGAAGCATGAAAAAAAAACACTGAAATGAATGATTTTTACATGTGAAATCAAAATGCTAATTTTGAATAGAAACCTCGAAATTCCATCATTTTCAAATTGCACGATTTTTCAATGTTATATACTTCGCGGTCTTCCAACAGCGCGATTACATCAGATGATGTTTTTCGCAACGAATTATTGCAAAATTGTATTTTTCTTTCCCTGAAAATTCTATTCTTGAACGCGAATTTGCATTTGCACAATTCTTTGCGCGGGTTGCCATAGCAGCTTTAGGTGAATATTTTGCTGGGCAAAGAAGAAAAGAAGAAAAGAGACACTATTGCATTTACACATTTATTATAAGAATGAGGTCTATCGATAAGAGTTTAACCTTCTTCGTACTCATAGAGTCTTGTCAAAAGTTTGAAAGCAATCGATTTTCCTCATCCCGAGTGTTTGACAAGAGCCACAGAAGTGTCAGGATCCACAGTCAAGATGAATCCATCCAAAATTTTTGCGTCCTCTGGGAGAGTAACGGGAAATGTTTTTGATTACAACTTTTCCAGGAACAGTCAAAAGTCTTTGACGTTCAAAGCGTCGATTCTGGGTACCTAAGAATTTTTTGAATTCATTGCAGTTTGTAACAGCAACACCTACCCTCTCAATGACTCGATAAATTTGTCTAGCTGCTAATCTTGCCTTCAAAACTTCATTGCAAATCTGGGCGAAACTACTGGCAATAGAGGCACTGCTGATTGAAACGAATAAGACGGTGAAGATCGTTCCCACATCCAAAATTTTCTCATCGTAATAGAATATATTTTCGAACTATTTGTTCTTGTCCGTTGAATGATTGAACAGTCGTTCAGAGTTTCGCTGACAATTCCCAAAGCTCTCTCACTGATTATTTGCCTTTTATCTTGGTACTTTTTGATTCTCTGTAAACCACAAGGTTCAATTCGTAAAGCTTAAAGCAATTGTCTTACATAATCCATAAATGCTTTTTCCACAAACATTGATGGGAAGAGAAAGCATAAAAGGCGGTGCTAGTTTCCAAGGCACGTTGTATGAAACTGCGACGCCGGTGTCATAAACAACTAAGTTATAATGCAACGAACTAATTTTTTCTTTGAAAACAATTGAAAAAAAACACATTTGAGAGTGGCGTAAGACTTCCAAATCTTTAGAACTGAAAACAATTTATTGAAAATTTCACTACGTTCATTCATTTTGAAGTATTCCAACTCACTTGCGATTCAATTTTTTATATCCATAACAAATTGCCAACAATATCGAAGTTCTTTAGAGAAAAATATAAAAATATATATAAAAACTGACGCTTGAAAACACGGCGTCAAAGAAGAAAGAATATGATATTTTTTCTATTTCGTCGCATTTTTACACGATCGAAAAGAGACGCAGAGAAAGAGAGGGATTTTATTATCTCGGAGAGACCGCAAACAGCATCGTTTTTATTGCATATTCAATGAGTCACTATTGCCGATTCCGTTCTTTTCATACACCTTTCTCTTTTTTGCCTTAACGATGAGGGAAAAATGGTTGACCCATGTGGACACGACTCAGCTCGTGCAAACATAAACATCATGCTTTTTCAGCCTAGGCCTATAATTATAAACCAAATAAACTATGAAAAAATTCAAGTAAAAAGTGCTGTAATTCACAATTACCAGAAAATGTTCGTTTTTGTTGCTGAAATGTGTTTCTTAGTTAAAACAAAAATTACAATTTCCGATGTTTCCAATAGGATGCTTCCAATAGGATACATTCTGTTTTTCAGTATTTCGGGAATAGGGTTTCCAGATTAAGCCTGGTTGGGATTGTTGTCGTTCCCTTGGGACCGTTTTAGGGACAATGGGAGCGTTGTCAAAACAATGGGACCGTTGTCGCAATTCGTTGGGACCGGCGGTCCGATGATGGGACCGACGGTCCCGCTTTGGGACCGTTCGTGTCGGAAAGAGCCGACTGAACTATCTCTTAATTTAAAATGATTTGGTTTTTCATTTTTAGATAATTTTGAAAATGCAATCATAAATAACTTCTTGTTCGAACTTTCAACAAGTTCTCAACCGGTGTCCTAAAACACTTCCCTTGTAAGAAGGAGACATTTTCAAATATGTGATTCGTTTTTGCAGAAGAGCTACCAGTTTCGAAAAAACCAGGCTCGAAATCTGAGAAATTGAAAAAGCATATCAAGAAAACCTCAACACTTCACGACCGCAACCTTAGATGAAAATTTCAGGATAGGTTGGAATCGACTAGACATCACTAGAAATTTTAGAATCCACCCGCTAGTTTCAGCCGAGTTATATCAGTTTCTGTACCAAAATTCGCCTTTTCTGTGCAAAAGCAGTGTTTCCAAAGACGATTTTCACAAGTACTAGGACGTTTCAAGGCATGAAACTTGTTGTGTTATACTCAAATTTTAGAGAAATTTGATATTAAAAAATTTTTCTCAAGAAAAAAAATATTGTTCATTTTTTTGAATTTTTCACGATTTTCCAGATTTCTTCGAGAATTGAAAAACAATTTTTTGGAGAAAAAATTTGAAATATCAAATTTCATTAAAATTTGAGTAAAACACAACAAATTTCAGGATTGGAAACGTCCTAGGACTCGAGAAAGTCGTCTTTGAAAATGCTGCTTTTGCACTGAAAAGGTGATTTTTGGTACTGAAACTGACGGGCGGATTCGAAAACTTTCAGAGGTGACTAGATAGGCTATCCCTGGCATATCTTAAAAAATTCATCCAACTCTGGGTTTGTGAGGTGTTGAGGTTTCCTTGTAAGGTGATCCCATGATGATTTTTTGTATTTAATTTTTTTTTTGAAAAAAAAAACTAGAAAACTTTATGGGACCATACTATTCCGTTCCAAACTCGTGTAATTTTCTTTGAAAAACAACTTTTGAACTATTATTTCGAACTACTCTTTAATTTTTGAGTGAAAGAATTTTGATGGGTTGTGAAAGATTTTAGAATTTTTTCGGTTGTAATTACAATTTCAAATGTTCCTTTTTGATCTGAATTAGTTTTCTCGTTTTTCCAGAAAAAAAGTTAAAAACCAAAAATGACATTAAAAATTATTACGGGAAGAGGAATCAAACCTACAACCGGTTACATACAGTTCATCCCTTCTCGAAACTACACCACTCCATGCCACTCCTCTCTCTTTCCACAATTTATAATATGTAAGGAAACTGGGAGACGCGGCACTTGAAAGACCCAAATTTGAGATCAATTTGAAGCCTGACTTTTTTTTTCGAAAATGGTAGTTTTTAAGCAAAAACAGAATACTTATTTGAAAATGTCCCATTCTCAGCTTTCAAATGAAATAGGACTCATATAAAAGTTCCAGAACACAATTACAACCTTCCCTAGTGATTTGTTCAGTAGATTGCCTTGAAAGCAATTGGGCTGTCTGGTTCCCATTAGTTTTCTAAAACAAACACTGACAATTTTTTACCTCCAAAGGTGTGCCTATAAGTTCAACTCCTCAAAAGACAGAATTTCGACAAAATCTTTTTTTTTTCAGTCACTCACGACGGCGTCTCCGTTAGTTATGACTAGGAGAGAAAGATTTCGTATGGATTTCATAAATGGAATGTTCCCGGCTAACTCGTGGACGCTTGGGCTGGTCGTTGGAGCGGTGGCGGTCTTCTCTGTGATCAAAAATGATCTCACCTTTTGAAGTTTCCCTTTTTCTTCAAAACTACATCTTGCATTATAACTCCTTTGTTAAGCTGTAAACTTGTTTTCTATTTCCCAATGTTTTCTTTAAAATTGAATTTTAATGAATACTATGACTGACAATATGCTTTCTGTGAATATATAGTGAGGCAGGATAGTAGCGCCTCTTTCTTATATCTTCAAAAAGCCACTTGTCCGCAAACACTTCTTGTGACGACATCGACATAGCCTCTGCTACATGCCAAGGAGACGTTGTCAATCTATATGTGCGCCAATACATAGTCTCCAATAACGTCTCCAGTTTCCCAGGAGCATATCATGTCATCCACATTAGATACCTCTTGTATTATTGATTTTTTTCTAATTGGAAGGTCACTTGTCCCGCCTTGATCATTTCTTTATGTTGGTCACGTCTCAGTCGTTTTCCTTTCTCTCATATTTTCATACCCATTTGTCTGTCTCTCAATTCTCTGCAATCTACATGGTACGTGCTCATTGAGAAGGGCGGAAAAAAGAAGAGAACGATTGAAATGCTCATTTCTGTCACTAGTGATCTGTTTTAGTTTGGAGTCCAAGTTTTAACATTCCGGTGTTGTTAGATTTTTTATTTGTTCTTGAAAAAGGTGGAATCTCATGCTAATCGTCCTCAAACAATAACAGCAACATGTTTTTTACCAATCCGTCGTTAAAATTGATGGATGGAACACTCAGGAATTGAAACGTTACCAGTAGTCTATTTGATCATCAATTTACTTAATAAAATCACTTTTGAAATGACTTCTATTGTTTTCATGGGCATTCCGCAACAGGTGCGAATATACATAGCCTCCAACAACGTCTCCAGTTTCCCAATAGAATAACATGTCATCCACATAAGATTCCTCTTGTATTATTGATTTTTGTCATACTTGTAACGGG